TATCTCTAACTTGGAACGCGTCCTGTTAAACTAATTTATTTTCTATCGTCCAGAACTTTATCAGCCAAAATAAGTCCGTGAAAGCTTATATTTTTGTACTTTTCTTGTTCTAGTGCTGAAAACTGTTTTTTGACTCGTCAAAAATCTTTCCACAAAAGGAGCAAAATATACTACGAAATGGTGGGACATTATAAGAATTATCGTCAGAAGCAGCTCTCAGCTATAGTGAAAATCTATAATCACCAATATGTACAATAAGTATTTGAAAGAAAGAAAAAATCGGATTGGTTTACTTTTCTGTAGAATCGACCATGTAGGGAAAACTTCTCTCCCCATTGAATTGTAGCAGCTCTGAAAGAAGTGGAAAAGGCGAACCCGAGCCCCCAGTCGATGTTGACGGAGTCGATGTACCACCACGTGACTATGATGAGGCCCTAAAATCAACTACGCGCCTGAGAACCACAAAGCTGCTGGAGCTGACGGCCAGAAAGCGGAACTATTCAAGTACGGTATGGATGAGTTCATAAGGTGCATTCATCACTAAGAATATGGCCAGATAGGACCGGTCCTGGTCTTGCTTTTTATAAAAGATATTTCTACAGACATACAATTTTCCAAAATTTTAATGTATGCAGATGATGTATAACTTTATAAATCGTACGTGTCAATTAAAGAAAAGTCTTTGCTACAAACAGACTTAAACAGCATGGCTAAATGGTGTGAAGAAAATCTTATGCCTCTAAATCTTAAACAATTTATAGCTACTAGTGTGCTTGTCGCGAAAATATGTTCAGCCAGTTCTTATAAACAAAAAGAATTTTAAACCCTGTTTACAAAATTAGTTAGACCGATTCTGGAATACGTTTCGGTGGTTTGGAATCCAAGATGTAAAATTTACTCAGACAAGATAGGATCAACTCAAAAACAATTCTTACTTTTTGCTTTAAGAAATTTTTGTTGGGATTCTCAATATAACCTTCCGCCTCATACGAACCGATTAAAACTTTTGGGTGGGCCGAAAATTTCACACACTTGTAGTCAAGGGTCCACGCAATATTTTAACACTCACTTTTGTAAATTTTGGTTACTAATTTATTTACAAATTGGGTTTGAAATATGCCCTTTTTTGTAAAATTCGGAAATTAGCGTACATTTATCACTCCTATTCTGCTTAAATTAGCCACTTTACAAATATATTTTTGTATTCCCCTTCACTTTACACTTTACTTGATTTGTTATAACTTGCTTTACGACTTTAATATTAACCAATTCATCACAATTCATTAAATAAAAACACGTTCAAAATCACGCGTCTGACTTTGGTTGCATATGCAAATTAAATGGCGGAGTTCAGCTGTCAAACTCCAAAATATGCAAAAGAATGAGAGACAAAAGAAGATAGGATATAACCCAGTAAGCATTAAAAATATACAAAGGTGTTCTCTGCAAAAGGTGTTCAGCTCCTTTTCTTCGCAAAACAGAAAGGAGAATTCTACTGCCTGAGGGTTATAATCCCTAAGTGCG